TAGATAACAGATAGATAGATAGATTGATAATGAATAGATAGATAGATAGATAATGAACAGACAGACAAAAATAGATGAATAGATAGATAATGAACAGATGATAAAAGATAGATAGATAGATAGATAATGAATAGACATAGAGATAGATAGATAGATAGATAGATAGATAGATATTGAACAGAGATATATTGATAATGAACTGATATATATATATATATATATATATATATATATATATATATATATATATATATATACTTAGGTCAGAAATAGAAAAACCCTGAACAATTCGCTTAATATTCTTCAGCTATTTATATATGATATATATTGCCTCAGGAATGTTCAAATGAGTTACGACTGGAGTACGTCTGAAGATTGTCATATATATATATATAAGGCACAGATGTAGATAGATAGATAGATAATGAACAGAGACAGATAGATAGATAGATACATAGATAATGAACAGACTGACAGAAATAGATAGATAGATAATGAACAGAGACAGAAAATAAACAGAGATATATAGTTAGATAGAGAATGAAGAGATAGATAGATAGATAGATAGATAGATAGATAGATAATGAACAGACAAAGATATAGAGATAAAGAACAGACAGAGATAGATAGATAATGAACAGGCATATATATATCACCACCGACTCAACACCGCCGCCTCAACATTATTCCCCAATTCGAGCCGCTATCCATTACTCCACAGTACCTTTTAATTAGTAGTTTACTTATGAATACATATACACAGTGTCCACCCAAGAATTGTCACCAATTTCAGAAACCAACTTTTTTCTCACTTGCTGGACTAAACATAGTTTATTAAAGCTAATCTTCACTGCTGATGATTTCTTTTTGGTATGTGTCTAGGTCACCATATATGATTTTCTCCCGGTGTTGTAAGTACCGAAATATCCTATTTTTCACACTCTATGGATAATGGCAGTTAATATTGTCCGGTGAAGGTTGGCTTGGGATATATTTTTTCTTTTTATGTGCCGTGTTCTTTCAGAACGTGTGCGATCATGGCCCTCCACTTCTTCCTATCCCCTGTGGTTCTCAGCAGGTTTTGTGATACACGGATGTTTTAAACATAGTCTCTTAGTACATATAGGAAGGCTAGCTGATGATTATTTTTTCCATTGTGAACTGAAAAAGATAGATAGATAGATAGATAGATAGATAATGAACAGACAGACAAAAATAGATAGATAGATAATGAACAGAGATATTTAGATAGATAGAGAATGAAGACATAGATAGATAGATAGATAGATAGATAGATAGATAGATAGATAAATAGATAGATAGATAGATAGATAGATAATGAACAGACAAAGATATATAGATAACAGACAGAGATAGATAGATAGATAGATAGATAGATAGATAGATAGATAGATACATATATAGATAATATAGATATATATATATATATATATATATATATATATATATATATATAATGCACAGATGGAGATAGATAGATAGGTAGATAGATAATGCACAGATGGAGATAGATAGATAGATAGATAGATAGATAGATAGATAGATAGATAGATTTTAAAAACAGAGAGAGAGAGAGTTAATCAAGAGACAAAGATATATATATATAATGAACAGACATATATATATATATATATATATATATATCGATAGATAATGCACAAATTGAGATAGATAGATAGATAGATAGATAGATAGATAGATAGTTAGATAGAGAGATATCTGACTCCTAGTACTTCTTGAGTTCACAGGTCCCAGCAGTATTTGTACAACCTTCTAGTCTGGCCAAATTAGATTTTTTATCTCTGTTTCTAAAGATATGTCCCTATTTTTTTTGTACTTAGATCTTGAAAACCAACTTTTACTTATTCCTGTGCTCATTTGGAATTCTCTGTCCCATTTTACATCCTCCGATTCCAAGATTTCGGTACTTTGAATTATTTGGATATCTCCACTACGTCTTTCCCATCTTGATCTATTTATCATGGTAGCAATCATACATTCTGCCTTCTGACAAGTCCTTGTTAATTCTTTCCTCACGAAATGTTCATTCCCCATAATTGTTCTGACGAGCTTACATATTTCGTGGCCACATTTCAACACGTTAAACGTGGTACGAGATTGGCGACGTACAGTTGAATTTCCTATATGTAAACCGTAAGTTTTATCAGAGAGAGAGCGTATGTAAATATAAATATAAAAGTGAACATTGAAGTCAACACTCAGAGGCGACAGGCTGTATCATGTAAGACGCAAACGTCAAGCCACTTGTTTATCCATAGATGGGGCGAAAAGAAGAGGATTCATACCTTTCCAAAGGCTATTAGCACGTCAGTGAATGTAATGGCTCCATGTTGAATTCGAAATTGTCCCCCCAATTCCTCAGTTCGGGACGCTATACTTTACTCCACCGTACCTCTAATTTAGTACACACAGAGTAGGAAACACTTTGGGTAAGTATTGCTTGTCGTCTCTCTCTTTATATATATATATATATATATATATATATATATATATATACTAGCAGCATGGCCGGGGGTTACCCGTGCTTGATTCAAATATCGTACGACTGTTGTGGTAGGATCCACCTAATTTGCATAGTGGAGTACCGACCATATAAATATGGTTGGTACCGGGAAGACGAGGGGAGGAATCAAGAGATTCAATTCAGAGACTCTGCCCGACTGCGACTAAGTCAGCACATTCTCAAGGAACTTTCTTCCCAAGAATATACAAAAGACTATATGTAAATATTGTGTACACTTTCTTGTTTCAATACATTTTGTTCTAAGTACATTTTGTGTTGTATTATTACTCCATGCATTAGTCAAGTTTTAACAACGACTCATACAGCAATTGCTATCACTTGACTTAAAATATTTTGCCCTTCCTTGCTTTTAAAGGAGTGCCCTTTGCCGTGCTGATGTTGCTACATGCCTTACTTCTTGCCTATCTCACACTGCGAATTTTTTCTAAGCTCTATACTAAACATTAAATCTGTTACGAAAAAAGAACTCCATCAAAATGAACACAAAACGATCAGCTTTAAAAAAGGACTCTTAACTGGAAAAACCGAATGAAAAAAAGAATGTTAACAACAAATACTTTTTCATACCCAACCCAGTTCTACGGAATCAGAATCAACGTTGAGTGTAAGCAAGCGAATGAGCCAATTGGAGTAAAGTGCCATGCAGATTTAAATTTTTCCCACTTGTGACGAATGCAGCTATCGATTGTTTTTGCATGCTAGCATGCTAGTTAACATTCGTGTCAGTTAGCTGTTAGCTCTCACGCGAGCCAATAGAATCTTCTTGCCTATTCGTGGCAGCCAGCTATAGGCTCTCACTCTGGCCAGTAGAAAATGGCCGCAAACTACATGAAAACTGCCGTAGAAGCATGACAAAATCGATTATTTCCACTATCGATAGAAGTTGGGAAATGCAAAGTCGGTGTTCGCCTTTTCACTAACTTGGAGCATGTGCATGTAAATTTTGGTGCAAATCTGTCGAAAATTGCGGGCGCGCATTCGTTACATACACACACATATCCTCCCGTTTATATATATATATATATATATATATATTCGCGCGCACGTGTGTGTGTGTGTGTTGGTTTGTGTGTCTGTGTGTATTAGCATCAATGGAATCAGTTTTCTAGCTGTAAATTCTTCTGTCTCCATTTCTATTCTTTTATTGGTCTCTCTTATATACCGGATTAAAAAAGGATTTTTATAAAAAATATTTCTAAATGATCATTGTTATATACAGTAACTATAAACATTAATGGATATGCCCCAATCCTCATAAATACGCTTGACATTATTATAAGTGATGGTAATATGATGTATAAGTAGTATACCACTCGCAGTTGTTTACCTTCTTCACGCCGCTGGCGAGTATTGCATTTTGTTGATGTTAGAAATATTACCATTTCATTTCCAAACTCCGTTTCGGCTATTCCTCATTCACTAACCTTTTCTAGCTAGGTTACAACTCTATCTATCTATCTATCTATCTATCTATCTATCTATCTATCTATCTATTCCATTTTCTTCATATCTATTTATCTATTATATACAGTACCTATGGACAGTAATGGGTATGTCTCAATCCACGTAACCATGGTTGACATTATTTCCAAATGGAGCTGGGTAATATGCTGTATAAGTAGTCCAACACTAGCAGTGGTTTACCTACTTCACGCCGCTGGCGAGTATTGCATTTTGTTGATATTAGAAAGATTACCATTTCATTTCCAAACTCCGTTATGGTTATTCCTCATTCAGTAATCCTTTCTAGGTTACAACAGTCTCTCTCCTTAATAAGGATCTTTCTCGAATTTTTCCGCACTTATTAACCCCTTAGTTCTTTTTTGTGTGTTGTTTTGTGTCCTTGGTGAGGCTTAAATGATTAAAAATGATGACCGTTGCTTACAGATTTCTCTTCAAATGCCAAAAAAATGACATTCACTGACATACTCGATGTTGATATTACGTCGCAAGTACGTCTTTTTATTACAAACGAAATTTCCATTTTGGCTAATAAGCATTTAGAATTCATCAATCTCAGTTTTACTACAATAAAAATAAATTTCATATAAACATACATAAGGCGCCGGGGAGGATAGATTTGTTCCCAGTTTGTTGTTAGTTTCGCAGAATAAGATAAAATATACACTTGAACAATTCAATTTGCTGGTGAGATTTAATGTCAGTGAAATAAATTGCGAATGTAGTTTGAAGAAAGGCAGTAGCATTATTATCATTTGGGGCGTGGCGCAGAAAAAAATGACAAAGAATTCAAAGATGGGGGTATAACTGGAATTCTAATATAGCGGAAATAAGATTAATGGTATTGATTATATATTAAACTTTTGACTAAATGGAAGAACGAAGAGAAAGATTTTAATGTCGGAATTTTAGGACACGCCTGTGTACTTTGTCAGCAAGACGTGGCCTAAAATTCCGACCTTAAAACTTTTCACCACGGGCTTCAGTTTAGCCAGAAGTCTACTATATAATGAGTATAATCAATCTTATATTGAGGAAAATTTATATATATATTTATATATATATATATATATATATATATATATATATATATATATATATATATATATATTGAATAAAGACAGACAAATTTAGGGTTCCATGTAATGAGTTATTTCACCACAACCCCTTTAACAGGGCTCTGGATCATTAGACTTTACTTCCAAAAGTTGAAATGAAAAATTATATTTCTGAGATGAGGTATTATGTACTTTATTTACATTATTCGCACTACTGTCCTCATCTTTGTCGCCATATTTATTACAACGTTTCGGCCGTTGTATGCTCCGGCCTTCTTCAGTTGATGAGAATGTCGAACTTAATCCTTTATTTCGCTCACTGAGGTAGGCTGTTCTAGTTCCACTGTGCCATGTGTCCTTGACACATGGCACAATGGATGAAGGCGTTGGTTAGATCCAGTGACAGGATCCAAAGAGTGTGAGTTCAATACCCGGTTAAGGCAGTGGAGAACTTTCAGAGGGAAATTAACAGAAAATAACTGATAATTGACATCCATTAAACATGGCACGTGGAACTAGTACAGTCTAACCCTGTGAGCGAAATAAAGGGTTAAGTTCGA